CCCCAAAACCCCAAAACCCCAAAACCCCAAAACCCCTTTATGATAATAACAAATTGATATTATGAATTACCGATCTCAGGAATTTTAGTAATTATTATGAGCTCAATGTAACTGCAATTTAACTAAGGCTTCTTAAAGCAAACGAGTAAATGAGAAATTTAGTGTAAACCTTCATTTTGTTATTGCTTTATTGCTCTGGAAAATAAAACTCTTTAAGTCTCAGAAGTTGAGAATTTTCCAGTCTTTAATTTTAACAACAAAATTTTGTGAAGATCCATGAAGTTGGTATCATAGTTCTCAAGCTGGATCTCTGGAAAATATTGAGTTATGCTATTTTAGAGGTAATTGCATTGTTTAGTTGCTATAAATAAAAGAAAATAAACCATTAGGAGTGTATAAACCTCAAAAATAGTGATCTCCAGTCCCTTATTAAAGTCTTTGTTATTTTGTAAAATGACTTGCAGCTGGTTTATAAATATGATTATTTTATAGCGAAATCTTATATTTTTATGAGAAAAAGAGAGGCTACACTAAACCTTAAACTTTTTAATTTCTCCCTTTTATGGCAGATCTATAGTAGCTTTCTAATAAATAGAAGAATCTCCAGATATTGATGAACTAAAATAGCCCGCAATGCCTATATTTTGTCCTAAATTTGCAAGAATTCTGATATTTGTAAACTAAGAAGTAAGAGGTAGGAGACTCTAAGCTTTTGAAAAGAAATATATTCCCATAATCTCTCATAGTGGTTTAAATCAATCCTCAGAATTTCATAAAATAGTTTTCAATGGATAGTGAAACTGTTTCGTATTTGAAAGGAATTGGGTTTTTATTTAGAGCTAGCAAGGCTACATTTTTATGAGGATCTCAAGTCCTTAACCCCACCTTTAGAAAATTTAAGTATGCCCATGCAATAGATGCATCTGATAATGATAGGCTGGATTTTTCTTTAACAACAAATAATAAAGCCAGAATGCGATTTAAGCGAGATAAATATGTAGCCTAATAATCCTTAAACCTAATAATATGCGGAGGTAATTACTCGAGATTCACGAATGTGGGAATTTTTCAACATAAATTAATGAATCGTGATAAAATATCAGTAATGAAGTTTTCTTAATAATTTTTCTATTATTTCAAACTAAACTCCTTAGCTGGATAAGACTAAGATTGCAATAATATGATTTCTGAATGAACTATTAACCCTTATGTGCACAGAAAAGGCATGGGATTATAACGTTGAGAGTCAAACTTTAATCACAAATTTTGGGAAATATTATTTGTGAAGTTAATTAGAAATTAAAATTATTATGACCCAAAAGTCAAGAAATCTGTTTGCTCTCAATGTTTATTCAAGATCTCCAAGCTTTCGAGAGGAGCATCCATCACGCTTTGCTTCTTCTTCAAGATCAGCTTTCTTTCCTCCCTAAGCTGAGCTGATTTTTTAAGTAAATCACTGATCTGGCTCCTCATGGATATCCTTTTGGGAGACTTCTGGTAGACAGTATCTTCAGAAATTTTTCTGGAAGATCCTCTTTTCTCAATTGTAAATGAGTTGGTACTGTTTTTATCATCTTGGCATCCTTCTTTGAAAAGAGACTTCTCATTCCAAAAGAGTGGTTCTTGAGGGGCAAGGTCATCGCCACTTAACTTATGATGCTTTGTCTTATTAAAGGATGACATTTTCATGTTGATGTTAAGCTTCTTATTGATCTTCACCTCACAGGTGAAGGCGCCTTCACTAAGAAAATCTTCTGATAAGTTTTCTTCATCGTTTGAATTGATGTTGTTGATCATTTCTATGAAAAATATTATTAACCTTACCCCAATCATTTATTTATGCTTTGGGGTTTTGGGGTTTTGGGGTTTTGGGG